TTAATTATTATATACAAATTCCAAAGGATTAAAATATACACTTGGTATATTAAATGAATTGCATAGTTATCATTCACAAGGAAATTTACTTAATATTGACAATTAGAATTCGATTAATCCATGTGGTCACATTCAGTTAATGTGTAAACACCACGTTCCATTTTTGTCCTTACAAAGTTATTGAATATACATGCTACTATATATTGACGGTTGCAGACCTTACAACAAATTAGAAGTTACTTACATTTGTAGAATTTCGGCCACTAAGGTTATGACATTCAAGAAATAGCAACTTATGAGAATACTGAATTGTAGTTTATTACTAATAATAAATGGCAAATTTATAGGTGATTTGCATGATAATTCGCTTTCTTCCTGATTAAATTCATTGTTGATGATGTTCCAGATTTATGGAGTAGAATCTTCCTGATGGTTTCATTAAATCAATTTATATAACAAAAGAGATCACTGTTCAGTTAATTTATTAATAAAAAGAAGAAAAGATGAACAAAGTTTAGAATGTGGACTGTTCAATTCCTAAAGACTGAATTTAAAGTACTAAGCTTGCTACGAGATTTCAAAGCATTCAGTTTGATCTTTTGTGAGAATTGAATACATAACTCCAAAAGTTGAATATTTCAATGTATAAATTAAACCTCTACAATGAGCTGGTAAATAAAAACGTTGGGATATACTTTTGTACCTCGATATTGAAATAACAACATAAAAATCATTCAAAAGTCCCATTCAAAATGATATAGATTCTGTAATCATAAATCGTTCATTTAAAACTTAACGTCACCAACAGTGTAATGTAAATGATGATGACAGAATAAATTTACGAAGGTGATGATTAGATTTATTCAACGATTCTTGTGATGAATCTGTTAGGCTAAACAATACGATTGACGTACATTCCTTTCTTTGACCCAATTCACATTATTTGCCTCCACTAAATCACTCGGTTTAATAATAAGCTGTAATTTTACGTATCAGTCTAGTTGCCTACATATCTTGTCTCAAGGTAAATTGTTTATGAATATGTTGAGGAATTTCATTGACTGTGATAGATGGTGTGGTGATACTACAATTTATGGACGAACCAATCAGATTTAAGATAACTGGTCTTAGATGTTAGAGCGAAATTCATCCACTCATTTGGCTATTTCGACATCATAAATGATGTCAGTTTGTGATGAAAACACTAAGTCTAGTCCATAACCCTAACCATCAACTGTAAATCGTAATTATAATTCCTCAAGCTGCTTTATAACCTTCAGTTAATCCTTGTTAGTAGGTGGACATATTCAAGGTCATTTTAACGTTGCTTCAAGGTTGTCCATAAATTATAGTCTCACTGATGGTGTTTCATTTTGTCAGCTGATTGGTATTATGATAACCTTGATCACATGCTTTCGTGTATATACACATGAAAATGAACATGAAAAGGGTTTTTTCGTATTGTAATAAGTTCTAAATTTCAGTCTTGTTATTAAATGTCCATTTTGTTATTTTGAATAGTTCTGTTAATTGTTTGGTTGGATAAATGTGACCATATGGCTAACAAAACAATTACATCTTAAAAAATATCATCCCCGTTTTTTCGTCATTATTTGTGCTTCTACAACATGAAGTTTAGTAAAAATTCCAACTGGATTATTAAGGAATTCAACTATATGGTTTATCAGTTCTCAGTTCATTTAAAAATATTTTCTATCATAGACTGATGTCATATGAAAAAATAGCTGAACATAAAGGAATTTTGGCGAAAAATTTTGATACAGTTTGAGACTATTCAACAATGTGTATTGTCTCCTTTTTATACGATCACACATAAGACATTCAAACCAGGTATCTTAAACTTCTAATGGGTTTGAAGTTAACGTCAGTACATTAGAAACTACTCCAATGAATATTTGTGCAATATCTGTTAGAAATTATTTCTAAGATGAAGTCATTGAACAGTTGCTAAGAAAATGAATCTTATCAATGTAGTTGAAATTAGGTACGATTATCTAACGATGACAATGAAGGGTCATGCTATATAAAATATTCATGAACTAGATCAGTTCGTCGAATCCAACGGGGGTCAAAATTATACATAGATTACTAGTTTCATTAGATCATGTGGTATAAAATAACATCATGTTAGATGTTTGGAAACAATTAACTTGATACATTCTATTCAGATTTCACAATTTTTGAGACTCTACAATAAAACCTACTTTTAGGATCCAATTTTTTTTACTAAGTAATGAAAAGGTTAGACCAATTACCAGTGAGCTATTCAAATCACGACTAGAAGGAGTATTATTCTGACGAATATAAATTATGCAGATAAATCTTCCCAATCGTTCACGATTCGTAATCATATTTTAACAAGTAATCATTTAGTATATCTGTTGATCATAGACGGTTAATGTTTACTCAGTAAATGATCCATCAAATAAATCATATAAAAATTAGTATGTGCAGATATTTCTTCGACTTATTTGAGATTTTCAATAAGCCCTCATTCAATGTTTTTATTTTCTTACCTGTATCATTCAATTGACGATTTCCTGTAGCAAGACAATTAAGTATGCGGTAGATTAATCAAGGTACGCCTAATAAATCTAAACAATTCTTAACTTTGTTATGATCCTAGACGTTAATAATGTGATGTTCTATACATGAATACCTCCCTGTAAAAAACCGGATTAGGTTCATGATTTATGAAGTCGCTTAAAATTAACTTGAATTATTTGAGGACATTAGAATAATTAGGCTTGAGTGATCACAAATATTGTTTTAGCTTCACTCTGTTTCACTAGATCAGAGAAGAAGGGGAAGAGACTTTAGGTGAAATTGCTCTCATCACGAAAAAACAATGCGACGAAGAATAAGTAATAATTTAAATCATCAGTAGGTAACCATAATCCCACCGTGAACCAAACTAGGGACCTTCAGTCCGGCGAGTGAACTTCTAATTACTAGACCACTGACTTAGCACCGGAGAGTGAATACGTCTAACTTAGATCACTTTGTGATACTGTGTGACCATCTGAGGAGTCATATTAAGATTAAACGCATGTCCGGCGCTTCCTTGTTTTCAATAGCAGCGTAGCTAAGATCAGCCTATGATTTGAAATACGACAGTTTTGCAACATTGACAACCATACACAGTATACAAAAAAGAAGTTATTCACCCAAGTCAATTGATTGGAAAGTTACTAACAGTTTTGCGATCACCATGAGATCTGTCCTACTCCTTCTTTCTACTCTTTCTAAACTTCGAACTATCAGCGAAATAAATATTAATAAATATTGACTTGAACAATCTAAGATATTAATGATGAAATAGATGATGCATGAATATGAATTTCAATTAAGTACTTAAGCTTTTTTTAACAAATTTTCATTTCGAATATATTCAGTTAAATAAAAATTGAAATATCCTGATCTAATTCAGTAAAATCTAGCCTTTTATAAATTTTTGATGGTAACTAGCGTTAGAATCCAGGACACTCGCTTCGTCCAATTTGGGATTCTTCAGCTTGGAGTTGATAATCACAAGCTTGTGCATCATAAGTCGGTTCCTCTGGTCGTTGGACACCATCTCTCTGTCCAAAATAGTTTGTGTAATCTCCTTTTTCTTCTGGGATAGGCGTCGTTTCTAACACTTTCATGCACGTGGTATTTTCTTATCTGTAGCGTATTCATAAGTGGGTGTGGTTAAGGAATGTTTCTCATATAAGCTCACTTTATTACTAACTAGGACACGTTTTGTGGATGGGTTTAGTTGCAGATATTCCTGACTGCTGTTATTTGACTTTCCAGTGTTATAACGGGACGAATATAGGAAAATTTAGAACTCTCTGAACCATATTCCGGATTATTGGCAACTGTATTTTATTGTACATTCAGTAGATAACTGTACGGTAGCATTTCTGTATTCCTCTTATAATAAGCTTTGAATGCATCTTTTGACTACAATCATACGTTCCATTTTTCCCCATTTGTTACCAACTAGTCGTTTACTTATTGTTCCACTCCCGCATACTTATGATAGGATTGTATCAAAAGTTTGATTTTTTACTCGATGTGCTGTGTGGTCATGAATTTCAAGTGTATTACTGTCTGTGTATTGAGTCATAACTGAATTGAGTATGACAGAAGATAATTCATTTTTCTCTCTGTGCCTTCTGATAAGTCACTGGTTTAGAAGAAGCTCAATGATAAATCGGCGTTAAGGTATCAAATGTTGTTCATTGGTGTGTTAATTGGTAAGTAGGTCACCGGTGCTTCAGGAAATATAGGTTAAGTAAACGATAATGTTAATCGTGATGTTAAAATACAGCACGTGATACCGACTGAAAGTTCTCGAGTTATTCAAGTATGGAAAAACTAAAAATGTACACCAACTGCATGGCGCAAAAAAGTTTTGTTGTTTACGGATCTGTTTAGAAATTATCGTGGATAAATGTTATTAGATGTAATCAGAAATAAAATGACAAAATGAGGTAAACAAATAGAGTAGATTCAATGGACGTACTCAAATATTTCTTAGAGTGCTTTGCGTTAGCCGTCCAGTTTCTGTATTTGGAATAACAAACTAACAAGTTTTAATCTAATTGTTCAGTCATTACTACACGTGTGGTACGTTCGAACTCAGGATGTAAACAGGTGCAAATTGCAACCCAGTAACTTTTTACGAGAACCACCTGCTAAAAAACTAGTACACTAACCCGCGAAAACATGTTATTGGTCAAGGAAGGACAGTCCCCCATCCAGTATTGTACTTCATGCTTCGAGGTAAGAAACTAGCTCAGTTAAGCATGTTTCCATTCAGAGTTTTCACTTTGTGATAAGGATAGGTGATGATCACAGCATAAATAAAAATCGAGATGTATCCATTTAGTATGACAGTCAGTTTGAAGAGCTTTGATCTCATGACTATCACTTACATACATTTGTTTAGTTGTCCTATTTCACTGATCAAGGTCGCAACTAGTAGAAGCATGTCCATGGGAGGGTTTTGGAATACTAAGAAGGTTAACTACAGTGAAGAAACTAAAAAGGTTTTGAATGGTTAGCACAATCTGGCCTCAATAATGATTTTTAGACCTTGTAAAGGAGTCAAAGATTGCGAATTTTTATCGTCGGTCAATAAGTGACTCAATTAAAAGTACGAACAGGCTTTAAAGCCTGTTATTTACAATAATGTTTTAAATCTTAATGTAGATGGGGAAAGTCTGAGCATAAATTTTGAAATTAAATCCAAAATTGGGAGAACTTTACTTTCGGAACACAAAAAGAAACCGATTAAGAGGTATATACCCTGGTTTGTTCGGTTACATATCTCGTTTAACTTATTATATATATATTTCATTTTATCGCAAATAAAAATGATAAAAAATGATTTTTCAGGATTAAAAGACCACAAAGAAGAACGAAATCCCTGATAGAGCTTAGTGGTGCATACGACCCAGTTCCATATAACCCGTCTCCAAGTAAGTTAACTTCGTAGTTTTTAGTACTATTGCACACTTATATGATTCATCTCAACTTTCGAAGAGAATTTAGTAACTCGGACGCCATTCGGCTTGTGGGTCATTTTTGCCTTCATAACAACTTTATCGTTCTCAGAGGAAATTGTGAACTCCAACATACATCTACATCTTATATTAATGCCATTGTTTTTCTTTTTTTATATGCCTTGTGTATGTCTATCACCTGTCAATTTACCCAATGATTGCTTTTTTGTCACAAGACGCATTATATGTTTTGAGCTATATTAAGACTTGTAGTGATCAACATGGTATATTTGGTACAATTCCCTTCTCCGGTCTGCTTGCAGCGATAAATAAATCCCCAAAATAAATAGCTCTGTAAGTTTTTGACATTGGATGCTGACCACAGTTTTAATGAATTCATCTAGCTGAAGGCGCTTGGTCATGCATCCGCACCAGATCACGAGTGGGAACACCGTGCTCAACACATACTTCAATCGCTAGCCAGATTAATTCAGACTATCGTCGATATATTGGTAGCTTATCAAATGTATCTTCGAACCTCCTCGCTTCTGTCTTTTGGTTTCACTTGATGAGTACGTTTCATATTAGAAGGTGTTACTGGTTAAAGCGTTTTCAAACTCTGAATACTCGTGGCATCTTCATGCTTCTCTACTTCGATTCTCTGATTGTCTATATGAGGCAGCGAGCGCATGAAACATACGTGTCGAAAGCGCAGTCTCTTACTTATTGTGTTTACTAACGCGAATTAATTTGATCATTATATTAGTGGGTAGATGGTATGCGTTTCTCGTTGATATCCTGATACGGCCAAACTGGAGTTTGGTCAACAAGCCACACGTTACTGTAATTATGTGAACAAATCCTAAGAATAGTTTATAAAACTCTTGAAGCACACGCGTAACACATTTTGACTACCAAACAATTTAAAGCGTTAGAATTAAATTACGGGTCCATTTGGATCCATGCTTTGCATGGTGTATGAGTTTGCATAGTTTTTGACCAGAAGCTCTTCAGTTATCACATTTCGTGAAGTATAACACGTTACAATGTAGCACCCGACAACAGCTGATCCTAAATATAGGCGTGTATGATCATAGTGACTTTATAAGGCAATAAACGCTTTAAAAATAAATGCATTCTGTGTTGATAATTTCGGTACAATACATTCACTTTTGTTCTCGACCTTTTCTATCTTAAAGCCTTAATCGATTCGTAGTTATCAGAGTAAGTTTTAGACAGATCTAGTAGCACCTGACCTGTCATTACTTAGCGTAGCAAAGTTTCTGCTTCTATACTGGTGCAAATCATTTGAAGTACGATGATCATGGAATACACAGAACATCCATCCAGAGTCATCCACCTCAGCTACAAATCTTCTCCAACATCTCAAAATCATGTGAACATGATATCATTGAAAATGTATTAGTATTATTTTTGTCTCATCATACTTGCTATAGAAACCATAATATTCGTCCAGATCGATTATTATTTAAAAGGAGACAGGTTTACTTCATCTGAAGAAGATTTCCTGAGGGCATAATAATAATAACGCTACTTGTAGGTTGTCTGTCTTCGATTACGAATTAAGTCTTGTCTACATCACTAGTTTCGTCAAGACCATATGTGATCTTAAAATCTAGTTTTTTTTAAAAAATGATTAGTAACTGTGAGCCTGAGTACATGCTAAATTAACTGTATATTGGTGTAAACTTCAGAGCTCAAGTGTTGTGATGGGCCGACCTACTTAACTTTAGTGACCTGTGGTAGAGTATCTGTTAAACACTACTCAGTAGTAACTTGTTTTGCTTTGTTGAAATAACATCGTTCTGTGAGGTTACTGATTTTTGGTTCATCCGTTATTTTCATATACAAATATTTCTTCTTTTTGATGTAGAGAATAAGTGAGTTTCTTTTCAAAATTTCCTCATGCCCCTCTAAATGTTCTAAAATCACGCTGAATAACTTTCATAAGAGCATTTTTCGACCTACTTATTTGGATAATATTACTAAACTTACGTTGGCCATGGTTTTTGTAGAAATTGTAGTGTGTTTACTCACACATACGAGTACGATTTTGTCAAAGACTAGAAGATAAGATCATCTATATTTCCGTATTTAAAATCTTCCTTTGAATCAATGACAACCCTAATTAGACTTGATCTTCGTTTCGTAGTAGAAAAAATTAAATTGTATTGTACTATTTAGACAGATTAAAATATAACTTAAAAATTTGTATGTAAAGAGTTACGGAGATCGATGCACTTCATTTATATCATGTGCTGACCAGTTTTAGATCACTCATGAATACCCGGAGACACTGGGCAGCCGTTTTGTTTTGGTATGGGATTTCTCATAAGTGTACATCCACGACCTCGCACTCGGAAGTCGAACTCAGCACCTTCGATATTGTATGCGAACACTCAACTTCTAAACCACCGAGGCGGCATCCAAATGTTCATTGTTGATCTGACATTTGTCGGTTCATGTTAGTGGGACATAGATTGGATTTAAGCATGCTCAATGCACGATTGCTTTGGCGCACGCTGATTGGCTGGTTCTTATCCAATCAGCGCTAGTCTATACATGGAGAAGCTTCTAGATTCTTCTTATGTAAAAAGCTATAAATACACTAACGGTTTTCCTATTTTGCTTCTTACTTCCACCTAACCTTGTTATTTGGAATATAATCTCTTTCCTGTTCAACCGTGTTCTGATTTGGGGCCTTGTCGAGTGAATCTGTGTCCGTGAATACTAAGCAATGGGAATAGCTTGGTTAAAACCGTAAGAGCGAGAGAATTATAACAGTAGCGACGGTGAAATAGGAAAATAAATTCAAGATGTCCATATCAGATGACCAGCTTAACCGAATACTACAACAACAGCAACAACAATTAGATGCACAAATGCGCTTGTTAGCGACTCTGACTCAACAGCTCGACTTCCACTGCTCGAGTTCACATGCCATTTCAAGTACGTCTTGTGATGCAGTTGCTAGCAGCATACCACAATTCATCTATGATCCCGAAAGCAAAAATGCTTTTCTCACGTGGTTCAAACGTTGGGAAGATGCATTTAGAATAGAATTCTGTAGCCAAGACGACGCGTGGAAGACTCGATTGTTGATACTTAAGTTAGGAATTAATGAACATGCCCGCTAAGCTGACCATATATTGCCAAAGTTACCTCGAGAGCTCAGTTTCGAGGAGACGATAATTCAATTGTCAGAGATATTCGGTGAATCCTCCTCATTGTTTAGTATTCGACATCAGTGTCTAAATTTGGTGAAACGCGAAGCCGATGAATATGGTGTTTTAGCAGACATCGTCAACAGAGAATGTGAACGGTTCAAGTTACGCTCGTTGACAGAAGACCAATTTAAATGCCTAATATTCATCAAAGCTCTTCAGTCACCACAAGATGCTGAGATCAGGACTAGACTTTTGGCTCGACTAGATCAAGACCCAAACGTCACACTCAGAACGTTAACAGATGAGTGTAAGCGGCTACAAAGCATCAGACACGACAACAAGTTGATTGAACAGGTAAATCCTAATTTAACCTGCAGTAGTGTCAATGCTATTACTAGGTTAAAAGTTAAGAAGCCGATAACAACTCGTAATAAACCAACGACTGCATGCTGGTTATGTGGTGATTGGCATTATGTACGATTCTGTCCATTTAAAAAGCATATATGTCAGGTATGCAGCAAACGTGGACATAAAGAAGGTCATTGTCCACCGAATCGTACGTCTCATCCCAAAAAGAAGCATAAACGTTCTCGACATGTGAAATCAGCCGAGTTTAAATCTCTTTCTCTGGTAGCTGCCTTTCAAACAAACTATGACATTCGGAGAAAGTATGTTACCATCCAGATAAACGGCATATCAGCTCGTCTTCAAATTGACACGGCATCAGATATCACCTTAGTATCTAGAGAAACGTATAACTTGCTGGGTAAACCGCCAATGAAGCCATCTAAGAAAACGGCCAAAAACGCATCAGGTGGTGTGCTACAACTGGTTGGTGAATTACAATGTGAATTTTCCTTCAATGGAACTAACTGTACAGGAATATGTTACCTAACAGAACGGCCAAACCTTGATCTTCTTGGTCTAGATATGTTAGATAAACTTGGAATAATGGATGTACCGATTAACAGTGTCTGCAACGTATTGTGTTCATCATTAGACACCCCAGTACTTGCAAAGAAGACAGGTGAAAGGTTACTAGAAAAACTGAAAAGAAAGTTTGCCTCTGTTTTTCAGAATAGCCTTGGCCACTGTACCAAGATGAAAGCTCATTTACCACTGAAACCAGATGCCAAACCTATTTTTCGTCCTAGACGTCCTGTACCATATGCTGCTCTTGAGTTAGTCGATCAGGAACTTAATCGCTTGCAACAGGCTGGTGTAATTCAACCAGTCAACTACTCTGCATGGGCCGCACCGATCGTAGTGATTAAGAAGGCGAATGGAACTATACGCATATGTGCCGATTTCTCGACCGGTTTAAATGCTGCATTAGATGTGTATCAATATCCATTACCAGTTCCTGAAGACCTGTTTGCCAAACTTAATGGTGGGACATGTTTCGCGAAAATAGACTTTTCCGATGCCTATCTGCAAGTAGAAGTAGATGAAGACAGTAGAGAGCTTTTGACCATTAACACTCATCGAGGGTTATTTCAATACACCCGTCTACCATTTGGCATCAAGACTGCACCTGCCATCTTTCAGCAAATAATGGATACGATGCTAACAGGTATACCTGGTACAGCAGCTTATCTAGATGATATCATAGTTATGGGTTCAACTGACAATGAACTTTCTGATCGACTACATCAAGTCCTTAACCGAGTGTTGGAATATGGTTTCCAACTACGTGAGGAAAAGTGTACTTTCTTTATGCATTCCATCAAATACCTTGGTTTTATCTTAGATAAGAACGGTCGCTGACCAGACCCTGCCAACATCGAA